AAGCCCTGTGCGGGCAGCTCTCCCGGACTCTGCCCCTCTGCCCCTTCTCTTGGCGGGTTTCAGTCTGCACCCTTTGCTGCGATTGGCCCAGCACGGCCACAGCAGCTGTCAGCGCATTCTGTGAGTGCTTCTTGCGAATTAAAGGACTGGAGGGTGGCCTTGGGCACTGCTCTCGGACACTTCCTCAGGACAGAGTTCAATTGTTTTCTCTCTTTTTCTCAGTCCTACCTTCCCACGACAGCCTGCAGCTGAGATGCCCCAGCACGACAAGGCTGCGATCTTACCACCTTCTCACAGGTGGTAAGAGAAACAGTTCAAGAGAAACAGTCCAATGTGAAATCCAAACAGATAGGCAGGTCTGTGCCGCCCCTGGAATGAGATGGCACCAAACTCCGCTTGGAGCCCTGTCGTCGTCAGGATGGCTCTGGGCTCGTGGCAGCGCCTCTTGTGAGGTGCCGAGCCGCAGAGCTCACGCCACGTGCTAGCATCCAACTCAGTCGAACTGAGAACGCACTGTCTCCTTAGAGGCCAAGAGACGGTGGGAATTTAGAAAGATGCACTTTTCTCTGCAGCCCTGAGAACCATTAGGTGGCAACCAAGTTGATCTCACTGACCGTCCCTGCAATATCGTGATTGGTGTCAGGCCTAAAGAAAGGGTAAAATTATGCCTCTCTGACTGGGCCCGGCAACAGGACGCCAGACAGCAAGGCAAAGGGCCTTGTGAGCACGTTCTGTGCACAGACACCTTCCTAGATGGTGACAGAGAACAACTATGACAACAATGACACATTCTGAGTGCCCACTGTGTGCCTGACACTCTTCTCTGTGCTTTACAGGGTGACCTTATTTAAACCTCTTAGTAGCCATAGGAAGGCAGCCTCTTGCCCCGCCTCAGTGGAGGAGGAGGCAGGGCTGCTGACTGTCCACGCAGTCCCAAGTTCCTAGGCTTTCTCACTGCCTTGTCAGACCACCCTCGTCCAGGCCCCCAGGTCTCCTGCATGGGCCACTGTGATGCCTCCCGCCAGGGCGCTCTGCCTCCCCTCTGCCCCCACAGTCTTGTTTCTGCACGGCAACCAGAGGGACCTTTGTAAAACATAAAGCAAGCCACTTCTCTACTCAGACCACGCTGGTGATTTCCCGTCTCGCTCAGAAGCAAATGTAAACGTCTTGGGATGGTCTGCAAACCCTCCCAGGCGAGGCTCTCTGGCCTCAGTCCCCACCTACCTGCCCCTTCCTCCTGGCTCCCCTGCTGCCCGCACATTGGCTTTCTTGCTGCGGCTGCGGCTGCGGCTGCGGCTGCAACCCCGAGCATGCTCCCATCTCTCAGCTTTGCACACGTAAGCACTTTAACTGCATGGTTTGCGGCTGAGCCCTTTGCACCGCGGACTCTGTGCTGCACAGAGCAGTGCTCTATAGCACGTATTGAATGAATGAATGAATGAATGAATGAATGAAGAAACTCTCCTGAGGTCACTGGTTTAACCAGTGAGTAAGTAGATTCATGCTCAGGATCCCAGACCCAGATCTGGGCTTGCCCCTATGGGGCTCAGTGCCTCCTGCCAGCCACGCTCCCGTGGGGTGGGGAGGGATTTCCTGAGCACCCACCCTGTGCCAGGCCCCAGGCCTGAGGCCTGCCCTCCTGTGCTGGGTGCTGCCATGAAGGTGAGAGGCTCCCGTCTCCATTCCACGGAGAGAGAAACCGGAGCTCAGCGCAGGGCAGGCCCCGCCCAGGGACGCCCAGCCCGCAAGGCGCAGCCGGCATCCCCATCCGCAGCAGGGGGCTGCAGCCTCCTCCTTTTGGAATATCAAGTAAAGCAGTTTCCAGTAGCCAAAGGCAATGATTTCCAAATTAAGGAACTTAAAATAAACCAAGCCACCTGGAACCTAAGGGTCTGAGATGACATGACAGAGTAAATCTAAGGAAATACCCCTGGACTAATCCAGAGAAACAAGCGACGTGGGCCTCTGGCCACTTCCCTTAAAGACACGCAGGCAGATGCAGAGAACTGTGCTCACCTCCACTTGCCCCTTGACACCCTCTTACGCAGCGTATGTCATGTACCCCCTCCTGAACCGTCACCTCGTGCGCACCCGACGGCCTCTCTTGACAGCAGACCAAAGGGCCATCTTCCCTTCCTTGGCCCAAGCTCTCATGGGCCCCACAACTAGCTCCACGCACAGAACAACCAAATGCATGACATCCTAAGGATGTGGCTGGGACACATGAGGCTGTGGTCACTTCCACATCTTTGACAAACCTTTACTGATGTATTTACCGGCACCCACTGAGGCTGGCGCTTGCCCACACGTGGCCCAGTGTACCCCTGCAGCAATAATTGCCGGGGTTCATCACTGCTTCGTAGAGGAGGAAAGAGGGATTTAGTTGGTCAAGATCTTAGATTCACAGCCCAGCTTAGGAGGGAAGTGTCAGCCGCTGGAAACTGTCCCCACCCAGAGGTGAGCCCAGGTGGGCCCAGGGGGTACGGCGGGGAGGGGCATGAATAGCAATTCCCCACCCGGGTGTTAGCTCCTTGAAGTCTCGCCCCATCTTCTCCAAGACGGTGGTTCTCCATCCTTGCTGTGTGTCAAAATGTCACCAAGATTAAGGACACTGAGGCACAGGTTAGATAACTTGCTCCAGGTCACACACGCAGTAAATGGCCTGGCCGACAGCTGAACCCAGGTGTCTAGCTGCAGAGCTTGGTCTTCTCACCGTTATGCTACACACCCACACTGCACTGACATGAGAAAGATTTTATTTTAAATCCCATCTTCACTGCTTGCTGACGTGTCAAACTTGAGTAAGATACTTGGGACAGCACAGAGAGGTTATGTAACCAGCCCAAGGTCACACAGCACTCAGAGGGGGATTGGAACTCCGTTTCCTCACTCCTAGCCAGGGATTTGAGTCTTGATGCCTCAGGGGGCAAAGTTGTTCCTTTCCTGCCTGCGGGGCCTGGGGCTTTGATAAATTGAGTCCCACTGTGCGCATTTCTCAAGAAAATCCCTCCTAATTATTCATCTGTGAGGAAAGGAAAATGGAGTGTCTACCTCACGGGATTCTACTGAAGAGTAAATGATCAGATACCCAGAAAGCACTTAAAACAGCGGCTGGCCCCACAACGATCGGTTCGTATTGTTTTCCCCCGGCTGCCACGACAAAGCACCACAAACTGAGTGACTTAAAGTGACAGACACTGATTCCGTCCCAGGTTTGGAGGCGGTAAGTGTGAAAGCGAGGTGCCGGCAGGGCCACGTGCCCTCTGCGGGCTCTGGGGAGGGTCCCTCCTCGCCTCTTCTGCGTTCCTTGGCTTGTGGCCACATCACTCGAGTCTCTGCCTCCACGTAGCTTCCTCCCTGTGTCTCTGTGTCTTCTTGTGGCCTCATGTCAGGACACCAGTCGCTGGATGCAGAGCCCACCCTTATCAGTGTGACCTCTTCTTAACTGTTTAGCCACATTCTGAGTTTCCAGGTAGACATGAAATCCTGCGGGACGGTGTTTGGACTAAATTGTGTCCCCTCTAAATTCCCACATTGACACCCTAACCCCCAGTGTGACTGCATTTGCATACAGGGCCTTTAAGGGATAAGGTTAAATGAAGTCATCAGGGTGGGGCCCTGGTGTGGCAGCACTGCTGTCCTTATAAGAAGAGGAACAGACAGCTCTGTGTAGCCCTCCCCCGCACCCTCACAGCGCAGTGCAGAGGCCACGTGAGGCCACGGAGAAGGCAGCCGTCTGCAAGCCAGGAAGAGAGGCCAAACCAGGAACCAACTCTGCTGGCACTGCGGTCTACACACCCAGCCTCCAGAGTGGTGACAAAATACATTCCTGTCGTTTAATCCACCAGTCGGTGGTGTTTTGTCCTGGCAGCCCTAATAAATACCAACACCATTCAACTCGGCACAGCCACCGGCATGGCGATGCTTTGCACGTCCTGCCTTGGCACGTGTTTCTCCCTGCCTGGAACGCGTCTGACTCCTTGTCCACTTGGGCCTGTCTCCTCCAAAGCTTGACTCGGGCATGGCTTCCTGCAGACTGCCGCCCTTCACTGCACCGTGCCCCCTGGGGTCCCTGCCCTGCTTCTCTGGACTCACGAGCAGGGATGCTACAGTGGGAGCCAACGTGGACGGGGCACGTCCCGAGTGCCAGCTGCTGTCTCAGGCCTCACACGTATTCAGTCCTCAAGACACCACCATGAAGAAGGACTGTCACTGTGCCCATTTCACAGGTGAAGAAACTGAGAGCTAGAAGCCCGGTGGTGTTCTTGTGGCCATACAGCGAGGAAGGGGAAGAGCCAGGACACAGACTCAGGCACTTGGGGTCCAGAGTCAACACCCCTCCATGGCACTACTTACCACCCTGGTGCTTGTCAACTCCTGCGAAGCCGGAAGACCAGGCTTCCGCCTTTCTGCCAGCTGTAAGTGCTGCTGAGGCAGGGGCTCTGTCTTGCTCAGCATCCTGTCCCAGTGGCCCCCGCCCCTTTGGAGGCTCAGGTGTGCTCTACCGTTCTCTCTAAAGCTAGCCTGCAGGGCAAGCGTGGCAGGCTTCACCTCCCCATTCCAGACTTGCACGAGGTTGCGCAGGGAGAAAGAAGTGGTGCTGGCACGTGAACCCAGGCCTCTGACTCCAAGCCCAGTGCTCTTTCCTAATCACCACTCTGCACAGATGACACCTCCAAATGCTGGGCCTATTTCTCATTCCAGGAGAACTGACTTCCAGAGACTTTTGCCTATAGGGACATTTGGAGGTGAGAGTCCAAGTACCCCAGAAATGGAACGAGCCTCAGATAGGGCCTTAGCCAACCTCCTTGGTCTCTGATAGGGACAGGGAGGACCCCATGGAGGGGATGTGGCCTGTCTGGGTCACCCAGCCAATGAATGCTGGGGTAGGAACTAGCCTGGCTCTGGGGTCCCTGGCCAGGAGGATGTAGGAGGAGGTGAGGATCTCACGCACATGCAGACCCAGAGGTTTCTCTGCCACTCCTGGTGAGTCCACGTACCTGACAGAGTGCAGCCAGGGCTTCAGTGGTTCTGATGTCCTCCTCCGACTCCAGGTCCCACAGAGTCAGCCTCTGCCTCTCCAGGACCTCGTGGAAAGCCTGTGAGTAAAACAGGAGCTGAGTCTAGTACAAAAATGCAGGGTTTTTTTCCAAAAAATTCTCCCCAACTGACCCCCGCCTCTCAGATCAGAAAGGAGGATGTTCGTCCCTGTGTTGCACATAAGGAAACTGAGCCAAGGGCTGTCACATGGCTGTCACAGTGAGGCCAGGACCTGAAAACCTGATTTCCAGAAAAACCACAGACTGTGCTTTTGTTCAACCCAGTGTGAGTAGGGCCACTGGGTCACCCTGTCACCCCTCTTTTTTTTTTAAGCCCAGCGCTTAACCCCCACGCAGGAGGGTCGTGGACAAGCAGTCCCTCCCCAGTCCCCTGCCCGGTACCGGGGGAAATATGAAGAGCAGAAACAGAGTTCTGTTTTCTCCCTCTAAGAACTGGCAAGCCTGGGCCTTTCCAGCCTGTGCTGGCATCGCTGAGTCCCCTTCTCTCCAGGAGGGTGACATCTTGCTTCCTGTCCTCCTCCAGGTCTCCTTGGCCCATTCCCAGGCAAGACCACTGGCGTCTTCCAGCCCGGCCACCTCCCGGTCCTGCCCACTCAACCCCATGCACAGGGCTGAGGCAGTCTTGCAGCTGACCCACAAGTGGGCTGTCCCTGGGTGCATGAGTCTGCCTTACTCTTGGGGACATACTTGTCCCCTCTGGCCCACGCAATATTCCCTTTACACCTGGCATGGGTTGCCCTCCATGGAGCCCCTGCACTCTGCCAAACTCTCTCCCACTCCTCCTCCCAGCAGCCCTGTGAGGGCGCCGTGACTCTCATCACTAGTTCGCAGACAAGGAAGTGGGGGCTCAGGGGTTAGGGGACTGGGCTGCGGTCACTGGGCTGACACTGGGAGGCAGGGAGCTGACCTCGTGTCTGACGGATGACTCTGGTTTCTGTGCATGGGGACTGAGCCACCAGCTGGCTCCCCTCATGTGTACTCTAAGACTAGGAGTATGGATCACCTGGAGGAACTTCTCTGGGTCAGTGGTCAGCTGGGCCTCAGCCAGGAGGCTTCTCTGTTCCTCTTTTTGGGCCAGTGTGAGCTTTGCCGTCTCCTCCACCTGGTGAGCCAGAGATGCCTGGACCAGGTCTTTGCCTTGCTGGACAAACTCTGCAATTGAAAGAAGCCACAGGACAGGAGGTGACTCTCCTAGCAAGACGTTCAGTGGGACTCTCATGTGCTCTTCTGCCAAGGGGATGAGGCGGCTGGTGTCTGCCCTGCAGGTGACATACCTGGGTTTTCTCTAACAGTGTGACCTTAACTAAGTCCCAGATGCCCTCTAAGTTGAGCTGTCCTAGGGTCGGCCCCAGGGCCGGAGTGTGTGTGGGACATGCACACGGCTCAGCCACACTGGGCTCCCTTCCTGCCCACGACCCGCAGGGCCATGTGACTCTGGCAGTACCTAGGCTGCCACTGGGTAACAAGGTCCCTTCTGGTCTTTTCTATGTTAATTTCTAGTGGGAGACCTTCCACTCTCCTCTGCCTCTCTGCATGTTCCAGGTGGCTTTGCTGCAGGACGTAGGGGCTCCATGGGCCTGAATCCCCGGCAAGCACAGGGAGCAGGTGGCTCCCGCCCTCGGCAGTGGCCCTCACTGACTCTGCTGTGGGCAGCAGGGAAGTGGGGCCCAGAGAGGTGAGTGGCCCAGTCTGCAGGGCAGCAGCAGGAGGGCAGCCGTGCCAGGCGTCGCGGGCGTGCTGCTCCAGTCTCCTGGCCCTTGCCAGCGCCACCCCAGCCCAGGCGTCCTGGCCCGCGCTGCCGGCTCACCCCTGCCAAAGCGCTCTGCCTCCTGCCAGAAGGCCTTGTGCTGCTGGGTCAGCAGCTCCTCCTTCTGCCGCCCGGACAGCTTCCCCTCTGCTGCCAGCTGCTCCAGGCCGCGGGAAATGGCGGCCAGGCGGCACCTGGTCTCCTCCTGGATCTGCAGCCGCAGGGATTCGATTGCTTTTGCCATGTGTGCCCGCCCCATCGTTCTCTCCAGGGTATCCTGCCGGGAGAAACACATGGGACCGTGGCCGGGGCATCCAAGGCCAGTCCGCCACCAGGGACTGTTAACTAACGGTGGGGACAAGGCCCCGGGCTCCAGCCCCGGAGCACAGAGGAGTGAACTCTCCGTCTGAGAGCTCCGTGTCCGCCCTTCAGGCAGGATAAGAATGCCTCTCCCAGGGTGCTGCAGACAGACACAGGGCTGCACACACAAGGCACTTGGTCCCCTGTGAGCACTGCACAGAGGACCGCCCTGTGGGAAGGAATCCAACATACACGTAAGTAAGAGGGAAGGAAATCCGCTTTCTTGTCGTCCTCCCCCAGCCAATCTGGCCCCTTGGCCTCCCAGCCCCAGTGAGGACACACAGGAGCAGCCAGCAAAGTGACTGCAGTGCTTGGCTGTCCAGCCTCCGAGCCGACTCCTGGGGACGCACGAGATTTCCAAGGGAATGGCTGGCTCCGAGCGCAACTTCCCCGGCAGTCAGGTTGCGGAGCAGGCCCCCTGCCTGCTGGTTCCCGGTGGCAAACCAGGAAGCTTGGGGCCCAGGCTCAGTGATGTCGTCTCACAGACACGACTCCCGCAGAAGATGGGAGGAGATGTGGAGCGGAGGCATCGGGGGCCTGAGCGGTGGGGCCTTAGCACCTCCCTTGGCGCAGAACACCCAGCCCCGCCTGGTCACCTCTGTCCTGCGCCACAGCCGCGGCCAATCCAGCTCGCAGCCTCCGCCCTCCCCATACGCTCTGCCTGCGCATGGCAGACGGGGACCTTCAGAGACGCTGACACTGTGTCCATCAGCCGCAAGCCCTCAGGTCAAGCCCAAGCCCCTGGGCACAGAGCACCAAGGGCTTCAGGGCGTTGTCCCACACACCTGCCTGCTCCTTGCCTCCCAGCTTCTGCACACGCGGGCCCCCTCCCAGGACCCCTTTCAGCCTCCTCTCACTCCCCTGCCTCGCGAGTCCTGCTCAGCTATGTGGGCTCTGGTGCCCTTCCCTGCGTGTCCCTGTGCTCACAGGCCCCTACTCCAAGCTGCATGGCGCCAGTGCTTCTGTCTTTGGGACCTGATTGCAAGGGACAGTCCCAGGCTGGACCGAGAGCCCTGAGGACCAGAGCCGTGCCTGAGTCACCCGCATGCCCCACCCAGCCCTGGGCCTCGTCGGCCTGCGTTCCAGCAGCGTGAGACCTGGGCAAGAATGATCCCCAGTTTTGGAGGGGGACGCTGAAGTCCCTGCAGAAGGCCCCCCCTTGTGCTGAGGCTGCCCCTCCTCCGAGTCAACAAGCCCAACCACCTCAGCGCCTGTGACCCCTAGAGGGCACGAGAGGATAAGAGGAGGTGCTGGGTGGGGCAGGCAGGCGGCTGCTGAGGGCAAGGTTGCAGCCCCCACCCAGGGAAGCAGAGGACGTTTGGACCCAACGCAGGCCTGCTGCGCTCTGCAGTGACGGTGCAACCTAGGGCCTGTGTTCAAGGAGGATGGCAGGGGAGAAGGTACCCGCAACTGAGGGACATGGGAAGGGGGAAGGGTGGGCCCCTTGCTGGAGGGCAGCAGAGTCCCCGACCGCCAGGCTTGGGCTTGGCTCCAGCCTCCAGAGCTGCGTGACCTGGGCACGGGCCCCTCGCCTGATCGGGTGCACAGATCTGATGTGAAGATGGGTAAGTTAAAATACACAAAACGTTTAGAACGGTGGCCAGGGCCCGGGGAGTGCTCCATGAATGCTGGCTGTTTCCATCACCAGCAACAGCGGGTGCCACATCTCTCTTTCCTAATAGATCTCGAGAGACTAGATCTGATGACCTCCAGGGTCCCTTTGAAGGGCGCTTCCAGTTTCGATATTCAGGGATGCTACGTGACACATTCCATGCCCAACCGCCCAGGCCAGAAAGATCCCATGGTGCCCCGAGGATTTATCAGAACGTGGTATCTCAGAACACAGAGTCGATCTGTTTTGAGATAAGGAAGCTACGTTTTCCCTCTTTGGCACACAGGATGCAGGCAGAGCTGACCCGTGCCCTCCGTGCAAACAGACCGTAGGCCTTGCCACCCGTCATGGCAACCATTTGCTCTCGTGTCTGTTTTGCCTGCTGACACAGGGCCTGCAGGACTCTGCTGACTAACACATACTGAGCACTCCCTATGTGCCAGGATCTAAGGAGTTGACATATCATCAACTCTAGCACTCTCCACTACCCTGTGAGACAGCAGGTGCTATTATGGTCCCCATTTCGCAGATGATGACGCTGAGTCACAGAGAGGTTAGGTAACCTGCCCAAGATCACACAGCTAGTAAGTGGCAAGACCACAGCAGGAGCTCAGGTTTCTTCCTCGAGTCTCCAATCTTAACCTCTGCAATCCTGTTTCCATTAACAGCATGTGGCACACAGAAGGTGCTCCTTAAATGTCGGCTGAAGGACAGTTGTGCTGTTAAACGGGATAACCTCTTTCCTTAAGTTACTGGCTGATACTCTGGCCAGAGTCAGCTAAGGATGGATTTTCTTTTTTTTTTCTGCATCAATACCCTATTGACAGCAAAAAGAAAAAGAAGAAAAGAAAAGTCTTTCACCTTCGATGAGCCTTACTGTGAGTCAGCAGTTCTTATCAAATTAAAATCCGATCAAAAGGGGCTGGGGGCCCAGGCTGGGGGGCAGCTGGGGGCCCAGGCTCAGCGACGTCATTAGGCAGGATAGGATCTTAGGTGAGTCACTTAGCAGGCCTTTTATCTGTGTGCTATGAAGAAGGAGACCGTATGTGTATACGATGAGAGAAAGCACACAAGGTTCTCAAAGAATTGTGCGTGGGGGGGGGGGTCTTGTTAAAATGCAGATTCTCGCTGGGAGGGGTGGGGTGAGACTCTGCTTCTCTAAGCCGCTCCCAGAACTGCCGATGCTGCGGTCTGCGCGCTGCCCCTGGAGAGGCCTGCGGTGTGGAGGAGCAGCGGGGTCCTGCTGGGCTTGGCTTCTCCACGGGTCTCAGGAGCCAGGTCTCTGCGCTGAGGGCAGCGTGGCCACTGGAGGGTTCTGAGCTGGGCTGTCCCTTGGGCTGGTGCACAGCACAGGGAACTGGGGGCGGAGCACCCTCAGAGGGCATGTTCCATGGACCTCGTACACACTGGCCTTGCACACACAGGATAAGCACAGAGAAACCCATGGTGATGAGGGTGTTAGTAGTAACTTGGCATCTACCTGGGCCCTGTCTATGGCAACTCTTAGGACCACTACTTTATAACTAGAATAATAGAAGCTCAGAGAGATTAAGTAATGTGTTCAAGATCACACAGCTCCAAGAAGCAGAGCCCAGATTCAAAGCTGGACTCCCAGATTCCTTCGGGCCAGTGGCTTGTACCCCTGGCCTCCCATCAGAATCGTCTGGGGAGTTTTAAAACCCACGATGCCAGGGCCTTGGCTCCAGACCACTCTGATTGGAATCTCAGGGGTGAGACCCAGGCACCGGCATTTTTTAAAACTCCCCAGGTGACACACGGGGCAGTCAGGAGAGCAAACTGACGCTCCATCTACACTGTCAACCAGGCGCTCACCACGTCATTTGGGAGCTCCAAAAACCCCAAGGCCTGGGTTGCACCCCAGCCTGATTAAGCCAGAATCTCTGGGGTAGGGACTCATCTGGGGCCCAAGGATCATACTTTTTAAAGCTCCTCAGATAATTTCAGCGTGTAATTTCAGGTTCGAGAACAAGTGCACTAGGCTGCAGGAATGCCAAGCCGGCCGGAGCCCCCACTTGCTGGGTGGACGGATGGGCGAATCCACTGCTGTTTGTCCGGGGCTCCAAATGCCCAGCCACAGCACGAAGGTGCTCTACTTAGTGATCTCTAAGGTGCTTCAGGGCCTGTGAGTCCAGCCTCTGGTGTGAATGTCTCATGTTCCCTCCCCGCCCCCTCCGGCATTACCAGCGCCTGCAGATCCTGGGAGTCGCGCAGCAGCCCTTCGGCTGCGATCATTCTTTCCATGAGAGTCATCGTGAGCTGTCGGGCTTTGGAGCTGGAACACTTAAATTGGTCCACAAGAAAGTGCTGGATGTTTTCCATCTGTTTCCAGAAAGCTTCCATCTGTGAAAGGAGCAGAAGAAGCAAGAAGTGGAGGAGAAAACATATTTAAGAAAGCAAAACGGTTCATGCTTGGGAATTATAATTCACTCCCTATCGCAGACAGAGACTCTAAACAAGTCTGTAATTCTGGAGAGTTTATCTTGGCAATGATCACAGTCTATAGAGAGGCCCCTCCTGGTTCCATCGTAGGTGCCAGTCAGTTTTGAGATGGCTTTTTGGCAAACGCCAACCTGCTGCTGATGAGGAAGGCAAGCCATGAGCTCACCCAGCTTACAGACCCTTACCCAGGTCGTGATTGCCACCCGGGAGGCACATGAAACGTGATGATGTGCTCCTGGAAGCTTCGGGATTTAAAAGGGATTAAACATGTCCTGGAAATAAAAGCACCCACTGCCATTTAAATATGAATTATTCCTAGCACTCTGGGAGGCCGAGGCGGGAGGATCGCTCGAGGTCAGGAGTTTGAGACCACCCTGAGCAAGAGCGAGACCCCATCTCTACTAAAAATAGAAAGAAATTAGCTGGACAACTAAAAATATATAGAAAAAAATTAGCTGGGCATGGTGGCACATGCCTGTAGTCCCAGCTACTCTGGAGGCTGAGGCAGAAGGATCGCTTGAGCCCAGGAGTTTGAGGTTGCTGTGAGCTAGGCTGACGCCACGGCACTGTAGCCTGGGCCACACAGTGAGACTCTGTCTCCAAATAAATAAATAAGAATCATTGTCCTAAAAGTGCAAAAGAGCAACATGGCAGAGATGATGCTGACCAGGAAAACATTTTGCTTTAAAATCTTTTTCCTTCTTCCCCCATCTTATCAGGAGCCTAGCTGGGAACCACCAAGTGGCTGAGAATGTTGGGGGTTTAATTTGTGTCACTGCAGCTGGTGACTTGCTTTTCTCCTGCTTCCTCAAAGTTCCCTCCACTCTCTCCTGCTTTCTTGTCCTGATTCTCCCCGACGGCCCCTCCTTAAATACTGGCAGGATCCAAGAGTGGGCACCAGGCTCCTTTCTCTTCCCATTTTACACACACATTCCCAGGCCAGAGGCCTCTCCATTTTTGGAGGTCACCAGTACTTTGTAGAATCTTATGAAAATGATAAACCTTCTGCTTGAACAATGCGGACACAGACACGGTGTCGCACACAGCGCTGGGGAGTCTGCAGACCGCGGGAATCCGGGCAGAGCCCCTCTCCTGCAGCCATCTCATCTGGCCCGCAGGTCTAAGCACATCCCTACCCTCCTGGTTCTGCAACCTGGGCTCCATGGAGACCTGCACCCGCAGGCTTCTCCACTCGAGATGTCCAAGCTGGACTTACCAACTCGCTTCTCTTTCTGGGATCCTTATTTTAGCAGAGCTGGCCCTCTGCACCCTCTTCCTCTCCACGTGCCACCCGGTGACATACCCCGTGTCAGCTCTCCATCCCTACTGCACTTGCCTTAATGAAGTTCCTGCCAAACTAGCCCAATAACTCTTCAATACCCTCCACTCGGCAGCCGGGGTGGTGCTTCTAAAACAGAAACCAAACCAGGCCATCCCCTGCTTTGAACCTCGACTGACTCACACCTCCCTGGTATAAGACGCAAACCCTCTGGCCAGATCTCTGCAGCCTTATCTTGCTGCTACCTGCTGCCCAGCCCTCCCTGGCTCCTGCCTCTGCCCAGGTACCAGGCAGCACCCACGCTCCCCTCAGCTAGCCTCTCGGGGGTTCCTTCTTCTTTGGAGACCTTCCCAAGCCTGTGGTAAAACGGACTCCTCCCTCCACTGCGCCTGCCTCGCCTTCCCCTCTGCGTCCTTCCATCACGACACGTGCTACCCGTGAAGCCACCGTCTGCTCTCCTGCGGGTCTCTCCTGGCACCTCTCAAGCAGAGCCACATCTAAACGAATTTTGAATTCCCAATCCCCCGCACAATGCCCGGCAAAGATGGAGCACCAAGGAAATATTTAATACGTAAGTGAACAGGGGGTGGTGGAACCCAAAAGACAAAAAAAGAGAGAGATTTTGGGAAAGCCATTCCCTTTGGAATGTAAAACATGCTTTTGTGAGCGATGCCTAGCACCTGGCCTCTACCCCACCTCAGAGGGCAGGGTAACATCAGGGGTCAGAGCAATCTTTGTTTTGAATGATAAAAAGGTCAATCTAAAATTTAAACGAGGGAATTCATTATATAAAAAGTAATCCTCACTTTGTAAAGCTTTGCTCCATAATGACACTTTCCCTAACACTCAGTCACAAGCTGGATCCTGCCTCTCTGGCAGATGGTGACAGGGAGTTCAAGCATTACGCACGCTTCCAGGTATCACCTGTTTAACCTGGCCAACCTAACTGTCCCGGAACCAGGGTTTCTGTACAGGAAGAGAGTCCATCACGCACATTGTCCATCAGCTGCTCCGAACACTCTCTCTCCTTCCTTTCCTCGTCGGCCAGGGCAAAGTATTCCGAGTCACCGGCACCCAACATCTCCATGTTTGACAGCTTGACCTGAAGTCCCTTTTCTAACTCCTCCAAATCCTGGAGAAGAAAGAGAAAGCAAATAAACTAAGAAAAAATGTAATGTGTCTTAAATTCTAGAGAAATAAATGCTTTTTTCACCACATTGTCATGAAATAGTTCTTAACAGTAATTAAATGCTCTGGGTGTTGTCCTACTTAAGGCTTGATTAAAAAAATCTATTTTTCTCATTAAATTATTTTCTCATTAAATTGTTTTCTTCTATATCTTGCCGCCTCCCCCCCCCCAAAAATAGAACATACTTTAGAAACGATGAAACAGTGTCCTTCAATCACTATGAATTCCTGGAAAATGCATGGCATCTGAGGGGTCAGGAGGGAACCTTTCTTCCTTCCCCTTCTGGTTTCCCTGGGGAAGGATTACCCACTACAATCCAGGTGAGGAAGTGATATGTATTTGATTGGTGGGTTCGAGAGCAAGAAGTGAGCACAGTGGCTTAGCTTGCCCAGCCCCTTCCTTTTTGGATAGACCATTCAGGGAGGCCATTGCTCTGGTGTGGTCTCAGCCTAGAATAAGATGGGCAGCAAAGGTCCTGCTTCCATGTGGGGAAGCCTGACGTGGCTTTTGAGCAGGAAATTGAGCTAATTCTGGGACTCAGTGTTAGGAACTCATGATTGCTGTGCACCTGAGCCACGTCCTCCAAGCTGGTCTTGCATCGGTAGTAAAGCTACATTTTGATATCTGTCTCCCCAACTCTCTCTCAATTGATTCTGAACTCAGGGGGGGAAGGGGGAGTCATATGTATGGAGTCCTTTGAACCCCAACACGGCATGTGGGAGGCAATTCTATTTCCTCCAGAGCTGTGTTCACTGCCATGTAACCAATACTGGTGTGGGTTCAGGTTCATTAGGAAAAATAACATTGGTATAAACTACTATTGAGGACCCAAGCTAAGGCCATATGTGATTTCTAATTCTCACAGCATCTCCACAAGAGAGAAATTAAGGCTCTTTTCCGGATGACAAAACTGGTATACAGGAAGTTAAGATATTTTGTCCGAAGTCTCCCAGGCAGGAAATGGCAATGCCAGGCTTGTCCCTACTCTTCCAACTTCTGAGCACCTCTTGTCCTCTTCTAGCAGTCTGAAGGTTGTTGCAAGCATTAGATGAAATTATGCATTTAAAGCACTTGGATAGACTGTCTCAATGAGTGGTAGCCACTGTTAGAATCATTAATAACATGCTCGTCCAAAGCCAAACAGCCCTGTAAGTGGTAGAGGTGGGATTTGATAAGGCCCGTGGACTCCAGAGCTTACTCTTCCCATTATAACAAACAGTATTGTTTCATTATTACTGTAATAGTACACTTATGAATATCATCACCATTATTATTATTTTTACTATCGGATAATCATTTAAACTCACTGAGCCTCAGTTTCCTCAGCTGTAAAACAGAAATAATAATGGCCACTCCCAGGGCTGTGGCGAAGGTTAAATAAAATAACGCATGTCAAGCACCGTGTGCATTGCCTGCTGGGAGGGTCACTGCAGGAGCGGTGCTGAGGACAGAAACAGAGGCGATGGGGTACCTCCTCCCCTCGCAGAATGAAGTGAGCAATCCTTCCTCATGGAATCCAGAAGAGTACAACAGAGACATTCCCTCCCACACATCGGGCTCATGGTGGTGGTAACAAGGATGAGGATGACAATGACGATGATAATGAAGACAAGGTAGCAGTAGAGTAAAGAGGGTGAGGAAGATGATCGTGGTGATGGTTGTGGTGATGAAAATGATCATGACAAAGATGCAGAAGATGATGGTGGTGGTGATGGCAGTGAGGAAAGCGATGTCAATAACAATGATGATGATGAAGAAGATGATGTTAGTGGTGGGTGGAGGAGGAGGAGGAGGATGAAGAGGGTGGTGACTGTAGTGATGACAACGATGATGACAATGTTGAGGAGGATGATGTGATGGTGGTGATGAGGATGGTGGTGATGATTATGTCGATGTAGTGAGGATGATGACACTGACAATGATGATAATGATGGCAGTGATGACAATGAAGGTGGCAGGTTGTGCTGACGGGAATGAGGAGGAGGACGAAGAGGATGGGGTTGGTGACAGTAGGGGTCATGAGGACGACAACAAAGCTGTTGATGAATATGACAATGTGGTGGTGGAGACAGTGACGATAATGGTGACAACCAGGGTGGCGACGACCAAGAGGACAGTGGTGATGGTGACGATAATGACAGCGTGTATGATGAGGAAGGTGCTGGTGGCGGCAGTGGTGGTGATGGTGATGGTAATGAGATAAAAATGATGGCAATGACGACGATGATGAAGACACTGGTGGCTGTGGTGGTGGCTGTGGTGACAATGATGGCAGCTATCACACACCCCCAGTCCAGCTATTCCTGGTGTGTCATACACATTTATTTCTCTCTTCCTGTCTGCACCCCCACAGGATCGGAATTATCCCATTGCACACAGAAAGAAACCAGGGTTCCAAGAGCACGTAAAAGAAGCAGGACACCAGCTGGGACCAGTTTGATTCCAAGCCCTGACTCTTTGCTGCACATGAAACAAGATAAACTTTCTATAAAAGACTGAGAAGAGTAGAATACAAAGAAGGATAAACAGCTTGAACCAAAAACCAAGATATATCTTTAAAAATACCCCACACTTGTGCAGAAAATAACATCAACTAAGATTGTCTTTGAGTGGTGGCTATGACCAGCATTTTTCTCTTTGTTGCTGTAAACGTTTTTCCCAAGTTTAATAATACACATTGTTATTTTTATATTTGTACAAATACTTTTATATGTCATTATATTGTGTTAAAAGTGTATATTATATTAATAATAAACTATTTTTATACATGAAAGCAAAAATACTGTCATTGTTTAAGTTTTATATATTATAATAAACTGTTTTTTAAGTTACCTTGAAATACAGGTTGAAGACTTACTTACGTTTTCTTGTTTTGAAAGAATCTTCTGGTATAATTCATCATCAGACTTCTTTTTAGGAAGAAGGTCAAGGAGGCACATTTTAAAAATCTGAATAAACATCTATTGCCAAAACAGGAACGGTAACAAGAGAAAGGTTTAAACAATGGTGTCGCTCTCCCTGTCTGTTCTGTCTCTCCTCCCTCTCTTCCCTGCTCCTTCTTTGCTTGCTGTCTTCTCTCTCTCCCTCTCTCTCTCTCACATACATCCTTTTTGCCGTAGAAAAGGACCTCATACTATAAATCATGACGATGGCCTATAATGGACTACATGTTCATAAAGCTTCTAAAGAATGCTTCGTTTTTTTCTTCACTCACTTATTCAACCAACGCTAGGTGCCTACTCTGCGCAAGGCCTCTACGCCCCATTTCCATATAGATCAAGGAAATACAGGAGGCAAAGACTGCTTCCCTGTGGAAAGAGTCAAGGGGACAAGTGTGAAACTGGGATATGTAAAGTTGTCCACCTCTGCCTCAACAGATGGAGACATCCCTTAAACCAAGGACCCTCCCATACGCGGGGACACCCAGGAGAGTCCAGACGATGCTGTCTCCACAATTTGCTCACCCATTCACCCATTGTAGGATATCTGGATTGTTTCCAGTTTTGATTATTACAAATAGTGCTGTTAAGAACGCTCATGTCCAGGTTTTTGTGCAAACATGAGTTTCTCTGGGATAGATGCCCACGAGTGCAACTGCTGGGTCTTCCAGTAAGTACATGTTAGGTGTTATAAGAAATTGCCAAAACGTTTTCCAAGGTGGCTGCACCATTTTCCATTCCCCCCAGCAATGTCTGAGTGATCATTTCTTCACATATTCACCAGCACGTGGTGTTGTCACTATTTTTTATTTTAGTCATTCTGACAGGTGTGCAGTGGTATCTCATTGTGGTTTTAACTTGCATTTCCCTAACGGCTTAATGATGTTGAACATCTGTTATATTATGTCACCATTTGTGTATCTTTTTTGGTAAAATATCTGTTCGTGTCTTTTGCCCATTTTCTAACTAGATTGTTTTCTTTTTTTCAGATGAGTTTTGAGAGTTCTTTAGGTATTCCAGGTACAAGCACTTTCGTTGGTAGACATGTGGTTTGCAAATATTTTCTCTCGCTCTGTAACTTGTCTCTTCATCCTCTTAATAAGGTCTTTTACAAAGCAAAAGCTTTTTAATTTTGATGAAGTCCAATTGATTAATTTTTCTCTTTATGGGTCATGCTTTTGATGTCAAATCTAAAACCTCTTGGCCTAGGTCTAGATCCTGAAGATTTTCCCCTCACATTTTTTTTTAAAAGATTTATGGTTTTATTGTTTACATTTAAGTACATAATCCATTTTGAGTCAATTTTTATATAAAGTGTGAGGTTTAGGTTGAAGTTCACTTTATTTATTTATTGTTTTGCTTACGGATGTCCAGTTGCTCCAGTACCATTTATTGAAAACCTCCTCATTCCTCCAATGAAGTGCTCCTTTGCCAAAGGCCATTTAGACACAATTGCATGGTAAGACACTTTTTCATGCAGCGGTTAGCAAACTTTTTCCGTAAGGGCCACACAGCAAGCATTTTTGGGCATTGCAGGCCAGATGACCTCTTTTGCGACGCTCAGTTCTGCTGCTGTAGCACGAAGGCTGCTATAGGCACTATGGAAACAGATGGGTGTGGCCAGCTTTGGCTCAAGGGTCATAGTTTCTGACCCTGTTTTAATGGGTTCAGGTTTGTTAAGCATTCTTCCGTGCCAGGCTGACATATGTACCATATATACCATCACTTGATCTCCACTGCATGTGGGGAGGCTGGTACAACCTTCCCCATTTTACAGATAATGAACCCCCTGGCTGAGAAAGCTGTGCAACTTGCCTCATGTCACATAGCCATGAGGGATGGAGCTGAGATTCGAATCCAGAACTCTCTGTACCACTCTTCATTATATCTGCCAATGCTAATGGCCTCTAAGAAGAAAGTGGTGTCCCACCCTTCTACCCACTGAAGCCCGAGATGGTGGCAGATAACATTCTTTTCTCAAGATGCTCATCTCAAATCCACCTTCTTTGTGACCCAAACTGGATCAGTAACATTTACAGTCCCCATCCAACCCTTCAGTGATTTTGAAATAATTATAGGATAATTCTGAAATAATTATAGACTTGAAGGTGCAAAAATATGTGTTGTGGGTATTATGTCTAAAAAAACGCATCCCTTAATTTAAAAATACCTTATTGGTAAAAAAGGCCAATGATCGTCTGAGCCATCAGCAAGTCATAATCTTTTTGCAGGTGGAGGTGGAGGGTCTCCTCCACATCGACGGTGCTGGCTGATCAGGGTCCTGGGTGCTGAAGGTTGGGGTGGCTAAAGGTTGGCAATTTCTTAAAAGAAGACAACAGTAAAGTTTGCCACATTGACTGACTCTTCCTTTCACGAAAGATTTCTCTGCAGCATGAGATGCTATTTGATAGCATTTTACACACAGTAGAACTTCTTTAAAAATTGGAGTCAAGCTTTTCAAATCCTGCCACTGCTTTATCAACTGAATGTCATATTTTAAATCCTTTGTTGTCATTTCCAGTAGGTTCACAGCATCTTCACCAGGAGTAGATTCCATCTCTAGAAACCACTTTCTTTGCCCATCTGTAAGAAGCAACTTCTTATGCATTAAAGTTTGATCATGAGATAGCAGCAACTCAGTCCCATCTTCAGGCTCGCATCTAGTTCCAGTTGCTGTTTCCACCACACCTGCAGTGACTTCCTCCACTGAAGTCCTGAAGTCCTCAAAGTCACCCATGAGGGTTGGAATCAACTTCTAAACTCCTGGTGATGTTGATATTTTGACCTCCTCGTGAATGTTCTCAATGGCATCTAGAATGGTAAGTCCTTCCCAGAAGGTTTCCAGTTTACTTTGCCCAGATCCATCAGAGGAATCACTGGCAGCTACGGCCTTAGGAAATATCTTTCTTTCTTTCCTTTCATTTTTTTTTTTTTTTTTTTTTTGAGATAGGGTCTTGCTCTGTCACCGGGACTGGAGTGCAGTGGCATCATCGTAGCTCACAGCAACTGCAAACTCCTGGGCTCAAGTGATCCTCCTGCCCCAGCCTCCTGAGTAGCTGGGACTCCAGGAGCCACCACCATGCTCGGCTAACTTTTTCTATTTTTAACAGAGACAGGGGGTCTCGCCCTCGCTCGGGGGTGGGGTGGTGGGAGTGCAGGGCCACGCTCTGTGTCTTGGATCTTAGCATGATCTGTGGTTTTCAATACTGCCACCTATGTATAAGGCCGGTCCTGCTCACACAGAGGCCAGGTTTCTCTCAGGAGCACTCCAGTTTCACATTCTTGCACTTTCCCAGTTTATAATGGGACGCCCCGTGGGCGCATGTGTCTGAATGCCTCTGTTTCTCTCTCTCCTCCACCCTCTCCATAGGTCTCATTCTGCATTCAACAATTCAGAGAACGTGCCTCAGGGGCAATGATTCCCCGTGTTTGTTAACCGCTGTGGCTTCCACGGCTGGGCGACCCCGTCGGGGGTTCTGTGGCCACAGTGGGGCTCATGGCTCCGCTTCCCGCGGCTCAGCCCCACTACACGTTCCATCAGAGACGGCGAGCGTCCGGCAAAGGCGCGCCGCCTCGTATTTCCCTAACGCGTTCCCATCGCTGGCTCAGAGGACGCGCACACACGAAGGTGCTGAGCGTCCCATCTCGGCTCCGCGCCTGCAGCTTCATGGCTCTGGGCAAGGCCTCGGCTCTGCGCCTTAGAGTGAGACGGTAATGGCGCCCGCCTCTCTGGGCTGTGGTCGGGTTTAATACTCCCGGGACCTCGTATACAGTAAGCACTCAATAAAATCCACACTCATAAATGTTATCATCACCATTATCGTACCTTTGAAAATATTGTTCCCTTTTAACTGTCTCTGATCCGTCTCCAGCGGGGCGTACCCCGGAGCAGGCGCTCACCCGTCTGCGTGGGCCCCGCAGCTCTGGCTACAGCTGTGGCTGTTTGCACCAGCGGCGCAAGCTGCTTTTCCATTGTGTGCCCGCTATGAGACTCAGCCGCTCCCCTCCCGTGCGGCTGCTCCGTTTTCACTGATGTCCCCTCTCAAGGGCCTCTGGGACTCAGTGGACAGGGAGGGCCTTGTGTCCCAGTTTCTGTCCCTGAACAAGGGAGAGGAAAGGAGTATTTCCACCCACCATGTGCTTTTCCTGTCTCAGCGCTGTGTCCAAACGCAGCAGATCTTTTAAGTGAAGGTGGTAGACACACAGGTCGATGTCCACACTGAAAAATAAAAGAAGAGACGGAAAAGACCTTCCGAGCATCTGAAACGAAGTTAGCACAGCCCTAGCCAGCACGAGGCACCTGTGTCCCCCCCATCACCAGGTCCCGTTTAGCAGTGCGCTGACGGCCCTAACACCCGGGGTTTGCAAGGAATCAAACGAGCTGTTGCAAACCCGCCAATGACCAGGAGGGATCAGCTGGTGTCAGGGACATCCGAGAAAAGCCCACGGAGCGAGGGAAGGAGAAACAACGATGTCTCCTCTGCACGTCTTCACATCTGACACCACATGCCACCCTTCCTCAGTGCCATCTGCACATTCCACGGCGAGGAAACCGACTCAGGAAATAGAGGATCAGAGAAAGCCAGTGGCTGTCGCAGGGTTGCGGGGGCAGAGTGTGACTGTCTCTGACCATTTTTCCTCATAGCAAGTGCATTTTATGAATAAACGACAGCACTCCCACACGAACTGTCTCACATGCTCCAGTCTGAGTGCTGCATGACAGCCGTTCTACGCCAGCGCCGGCCGATCCTAGGAGGCCCCTGTTCAATAAAGTGCCTCCTTCCCCGGGGCCACCTTCAGGGTCATTTCAAGTTCAAGGATCCGAGCCCATTCTTTCCGCAGCTCTGAGCTGGACCATTCCCTAGCTCACGCCAGCCCTTGGAGTCACAGAATTTTAGAGCAGAGAGAGGCCTGAGGACCAGGGCGCAAACCTGCCACATGCTGAGCCTTGCTCTAGGCTGGGTCCAATCACTCCTTCACGCACCACTGTGTGACCTTGGGCAAGTTATCCAGCCTCTCTGTGTCTCACTCTGTTCTTTGAGAAATAGGGGAATAATAGCATCTACCTAAAGGGCAGTTAGGAGGAATTAATTAATTCATTGATTAATATTTATTGATCACCAAACCCAGGCTCCCTCCCACTGGGCAATGTGCTCAGGAGAGTATTAGTCCCGGTAAAGCGCTTAGCACTCTGCCCACTGCTCAGAAGGCACTCAGCCTGGACAGTTGCCATGCTGTGCTGCAACGCATGCCAGTGGTTAAATGAGGTCCCCTCGTCCTCTCTGTGTAGGGCTCAGGCCTGACTCTATAAGCCCAGTGTTGTCCAACACTGTGGTAAGTGACAAACGCATCTGGGGCCCCAGCTCTGACTGGGTCGCTGTGTGTCCCTGCTTGAGTCACTTGTCCTCTCTGGGCCTCTGTTTCCTCCTCTGACAATGTACGACCCATTGGCCCACTCTGAGAGGACCGGAGGTCTCATCCTCCATTCCGCCCCTTCCTTACCTCTCAGAGGCCAGCACCTCCGGAAAGGTGTTCACCCGGAGGAAGGTGCGGCTGAGAAACCTATCGTCGCTGGTGGCCGAGTGGATGCTGGACGAGGAGCTGCAGTCGTCCTTCTCAGCCTGGCTCAGGCTCCCCAGGCTGCTGGAAGGGGAGGCCTCCACTGGCTGGTGCGGCAGGACGGCTTGCTTTAAGTTCTCATGCAGGGATGGGTTGGAGGACCCGTCGGCCAGAGGCTGCGGTGGCAGAAGGGAGATCATTGTTACTCCATGTGACGTCTCGCAGATTCACCGTGGGGCTTCCTGTGATGTTTGATGGTGGCTCGCAGGAAGGCCTGGCTGGATGCCCTGGTCAGGGGTGTGCGTGACAGCGCCATGCAACCACTGCTGATGGTGCAGAAAGGCCCCACAGCCACGTGAAGGACGTGGTTCCCAATGTGCTTTGGGGACAGTTCCCTGAACTATAACCAATTACTGCTCACCACAAAGCTTCCATAGAAAAATTAGTTTGGGAAAGGCTCGTTAAACAAGATGGAATAATTTCTTTGGTGCAGGAGGAATTCTTAGAGCCTTCAGTATGCCCTGGCTGTCTTCCAAAGCAAACAATAATTTCAAAAACCTAACGTGTACCAAATGCTCAGATGTCAAACACTGTTCTAAGCCCTTGTGTATGTTCTCTGTTATCCTCAGTGAGGATAATGAGGCAGACCTGTTATCCCCATTTCTTCGATGAAGAAACCAAGGCACAGGGAAGTCAGGAAATGGTCACGCAGTACATGGCTGAGATAGGAGTTAGGACGGAGCTGGGGTAAATCCAGAGCTCGTTCTCCCAACCACCAAAAGAGCAGGCAGCATTTTCCTGAACTTACTCCACCAGGAAACTCTTTGCACAAAGCACCTTCGAGGCCGAGGGCTCCCTGAAGCACCACGGAACCGCAGTCTGCAGCAGTCCCGGTGCACTGGGGGCTCCTGGTTACAGGTGAGACCTGTGGCTGGGTATTGGGGTTTGACTCTGGCTCACCCGCTTCTTGCCATGTGGCCTCGGGCAGGCCATTAGCGTCTCTGGGCCTCAGTTTCCTCATGCGTAGCATGAAGACAATGTTATTCACCTGACAGGCATATTGCCAAGTTGCAAGGCCTAATGCATGACAGACACTGAGCACCACGCCAGCCCCACAGTAGGTGTTCAGTAAGTGCCAGCTGCTGGCATTAGCCCAAGGCTCTGTGAACAAGGATTAATTTTGGAAACTGGGTCAATATCAGCATCTTTATTAATGCTAAAAGGGCAGGGTAGATGTTGTCCTACCATGCTGTCACCAGGTGCCCCTGGGCAATTCTGTACCTTGATAGATCTTGGATATACTCTGTTCCTGATAATGTTGCCATAAAATAAATTAACCCTAAGTTTTGCTCCATTTCAAACACCAAAATTACCCCTATAAAACCCTTGAATAGGACCAAAGATTGCCATTTAATGACCCCACCAGCCCCCCAATCTCTAGTACATGACTGAGTTAACTGCATTTCTAGGACAAAGCTCAGAACGCTCACCCGGAACTTCTGATTGATGGGGTAGACGACCTTTGCCTTCAGTGCAAATGCAGCGACGTTGCTTTTGGAAGGAGGCTCACACTCCTGGAAAGGAAAGAAACCAACGGCATGTGAGGACTCCTGTCAAATGAAGGATAAACTGCCAGGAGTTTCCATAGTGGCACATCCCATTTGTAACAGCAGCCCTGGACAGCGACCCCAACAGCCACATTTATATCCAAGTAAGTGCTCACTTGCTAGAAGGATGGATGGATGGATGGATGGATGGAAGGACATGTGGAGAGACGGATGGGTGGATGAATAGGTGGACAGACAGATGTATTGATGGGCAGATAGATGGGTATATGGACAGATGAACAGAAAAACAGATGCTATCAACAGAGAATGGCACATTCTTCATTTAATTCTAAGTCTTCAGCTTTGGAGTAAGTAAGGATTTGAATAACTTGAAAAGAATCAATAGGAGCCTCCTAAAGAATTGTGAGTCATCGTTAAGTGGAAAAAGCGAACACAAAAAATAATCTTAGCATTGCCAGGGGTATAAACACATGTGGCAATCAATATTCACACAAGATTTTAAATTAGGCCCTTAAACAAATAGAAGTGGTTGGGCAAATCTTTTAACTTCCCCAAGCCTTGGTCTTCCCAGGTAGTAAATACAGAGTATCTGCCCCAAGCCCACACAGATAAAGCCCCGGCTAAGTGGCAGGCGCAGAGGGGAAGCCAAGCCACGGGCTGCTACGTGCGGCGGCGTGATGAACTGCCGTCCAACCCTGCTCAGGAATCACCTCCCCCGATTCACTGTGAATAATAAATAGCCTGCTGTGTCCCGACAACCCCTCTGCCTCTCTCCTTTGGGGGTGCCCACACCCTGCCCCACGCTTCGCAGTCAGTGCCGAGTCAATGGTTTGGAAAAAACGGCAAGTGCACGAAGGCAGACAGCCTAGCCAGGAGCCAGAGCTGCAGACCTCGAGACGTCTCTGCTGAGCAATCCGGAACAGGCTGGCCGATGAAAGCTGCACCCACATCTATTTCAATGCCTTTCAGCTACATCCTGAAGAAAGAGCTCCGCAGTGAATGATTGATTTCCAACTGCTAAGTCCACCGTGGAGTAAGACACCCTGTTGTGGGAATCAGAAAGGTCGATCGCTTGCTCGTAATGTGGGGTGCTGAGACGGCCCTGACTGAGCCAGCATTGGGGCCTACCTACGTGTCCAGAGCGAGTGTCACCGTGACACCCTGTGAGGAGCGCAGGACGGAAGCTGCGTGTTGAGGGCCCAGCTCTGATAATTTCTCTCTGTATCTCACGGATCACAAAAACAGGCTCAGACGGCAGCAATGGGGAAGACCTGAACCACACACGGCCCTCCAAGCGCTGCCAGAGAGGCTACTGTCTCCACTTCTCAGATGGGGAAACTGAGAGGTTACACACAGATAAGAAACGCCAGAGCCAGGATTTGAACTCAGTTTTGCTGGCTCCAGGCCCATCCTCTTCAGCTGACACCAACCTGGCTCCTTCGACATGATACGAAGAAGAAGACGAGGAGCTGTGAAGTTTAAAGTGGGGTTCAGTAGAGAAGGCCCCCAGGCCTGGCTCACCTGCCCAGGAACCTGAGCCAGATACGAGGCACCTCATCACTCCAACTCCCCACATCCAATTAATCACAAATCCCACCAACCTAACCTCCTAAATAGCTCCCGAATCCATGGCCCCGGACTAAGCCTCCATCATGTCTAACCTGAAGGGCTGCAATAGCTTCCTCACTGGCTCATTTGTGTATTAAACGCCTACTATGTGCTGGCCACTTTGTGCATATTTGCTCATTTAGTTATCACACAACAGCCGGCTTGGGGAGGCCTTTATAATAATTATCATGCCCACCTTATGGAGGGGCAAGCTAAGGCTCAGAGGTTAAGGCCTTCCAATTCATTCTCTATGTGGGAAGTGAATGATCTTTTAAATATGCACTTCCCATCACTGCTCATCTTAGAACCTTCCCAGCTTCCCTCTGACCTGAGGGTACAAGGCCTGGCCTGCTCTCAACCCCCAGCATCCAGCCCGCTCTTTACTTGAAGACTTGCTGGTGAACTGGTACAAAAGCCAAGAATGGCAGTGAGATTAAAAAGGCTGAACTCAGGACCAGTTAGAAAATCTGTGAGGCCCAGTGCAAAATGAAAATGGGGGGGTCTTATTAAAAATGATTCTGGATTTTGAGACAGCGACAGTAGAGTCCAGCAGCCCAGGGTAGCGCCCTTCCGAGCATGGCCCCGGGTGACTGCACAGGTTGCAGGCCCAGGACACCCCCCCTGGCTGACTGTCCAGGGGAGGCACATTTGCTCACGTGAGAGATGCAAAATCAAAAGAGAACTGTGCATGTTTAAGCTTCTCCCACATGTAGGTGAAAAGGAAGGACAGAGAAAATGGGGTGAGCGTGAGAGGAAGGCATGGTCTCTCCTGCCAGGAGTTCATCTTCAAGAGGTGAGATGCAAAACAAACACAGTTATAAGAATAAAAGGATGCTGGAGCAGGGCCCACCGAGACCCCTGGGAGCAGCACCCGGGCACGGGGGAGCCGCGGCTTGTGCATCAGAACCACACTCGCGGCGGTGGGGAGGCTCCACCTGTCCCATCCACCTGTAGACTGCACCCACGGAGGGTGCCCTAAGGACTGTCATGACCTCTGCCAGGAGATGAAGGACCCGGGAGCCCTTGGCACCCAGAATCAAGGAGTGATCAGGCTTCTTTCTGCCACTGTGTTCAGTTTTTTAAAGCTCTCCTTATTAGGTTCAGATGTCCTCCAAGTTCTGCTGTTCTCCCCAGCTGAAGGAATACAATTATTTAGAAAATTGGATGTAGCACAAATGTACAACGCAAAACTCCTTCAGCTGAAGCAATGCAATTATTCAGAAAATTGGTTAAAGCACAACTGCAGGAAAAGAAAAGCATTTCACTCACCAATGTAAACGCGTTCTTTTCAGTGAACACTTAAATGCATCTGTAAGGGTCTATCTCTCCCCCCACTCCCGGCACAGGAACTGAAGGAGAGACTAGCCTGTGTTGTAGCGTGCCTCAGAACGTTCTGGAATTTTGTTTGTTTTGGCCGAGATGAGCTATTCATTAAACAGAGTTCATCCAGAGAGTGGCACAGACCACAATGCCTGGGTTTGCTGTGCACTAGAGGACAAGGGAATTATGGCTCAACTCGCAGGGCCAGAACAGTCCTGGCCACGTGCTTGTCTGAAAAAGGCAAGGCATTCTGAAAAGCCAGTCAGTGGAACAGGCAGATCTTTAACTTATCTCTTGGCAATTATTAGCTTGATAATGGGCCTCTAGTAAGGGTAGCTAAATAGTGAACAGGTAAGGCATTACTAAGCAGAAAAAAAATGAATTCACCATCCAAGGAGGTAGACAGACTTGGCCTCTCTGCAAACGCTAATTGGGCGCATATTCTGTGGCAGGAATGTTGACATGAGTTCACTCAGCCCTGGGTGACCTCGGCGGGGTGGGAGGGCAACATCATACGGTCATTGTAAATGTCATTACTGTCATTGTAAAGCGGTAAGCCTGAGGCTCAGACAGGTTACATTTCTTTCCCAACATCACACAGCAAACACGTGGCAGAGTTGGGACTGGTTCTACAATCCTAGATCCGAAAGCCAGTGTTGTTTTCATCACATCCAAAGCTGCCCTATGTGTGAGCAGGCTTGGTTGTTTTTTTAAGCAGCTTTACTGAGATTTAATTCACACACGGCACAATTCTCCCATGTGAACCACACAGTGTAACGGTTTCCATCTTCACAGACAAGCGCAGCCATCGCCACAGTCGGTTTTACAGCATTTTCATGGCATCAAAGAGAAACCCCTTTAGCCATCACCCTCCTCCCTTTCCGCCCTCTACCCCAGCCCCTGGCAACCACTAATCTACCTTCTGTCTATAAATTTCCCTGTTCTGGATACTTTGCGTGAATGGCGTCCTATAACATGTGATCCTTGGTGACTGGCTTCTTTCATTCAGCATCACGTTTTCAAGGTTCGTCCACATGTATCAGTGCTTCAATCCTTTCTTTAGGGACTGAGTCTCGCTCTGTCCCCCAAGCTGGAGTGCGGTGGCATCATCACAGCTCACTGCAGCTTCCAACTCCTGGGCTCAAGCGATCCTCCTGCCTCAGCCTCTTGAGTAGCTGGGACTACAGGTGCCACCACTGCACCTGGCTAATATTTCTATTTTTAGTAGAGATGGGTCTCGCTCTTGCTCAGGCTGGTCTCAGACTCCTGAGCTCAAGTGATCCTCCCGCCTCGGCCTCCCAGAGTTGCTAGGATGACAGGCGTGACCCACAGTGCCTGGCCTCAATCATTTTATGGCCAAATAATATTCCATTGTACGGATATATCACATTATTTTTTCATTTTTCAGTTGATGGTCATTGGGTTGCTTCCATGTTTTGGCTATTGTGAAAAGTGTTAATTTGAACATGTGTACACGTTTTTGTGTGGACGTTTGTTTTCATTTCTGTGATTGGGGGTCTCGTAGTTTGGAGGGACAGAGGGGTAGAGAGAGACAAATTAGGGAAGAGAGAGGCAGAGAGACAGGGAGATGCCACACACCTGCAGGCTCACACACAGTGTCACAGAGACGCATGTGAGAGAGGTGGACGGAGGATGCAGAGAGGTACCCTGGCGCACACACATGTGGGAAGACCAGCACAGAGACACCGGGACAGGAGCAGGAGGGGAGACTCCAGTCTCGCAAGCCCCGCCTGGGACAGCAGCAGCTGCCCTCCCCTTCTCGCCTCGCCTCACCTCAGCGCAGGGTGGGCAGCTCCTCCTCCCACAGGCTCCTGTCGCCTGGGCAGGAGACGGGCAGAGCTAACTCTCAAAAGCTGATTTCTCAGCATAACTAGAAGCCAAGCCCTGTTGATTTCAAGCCTTTGGTGACATTTGTTTTGAAGCAGCCAGGCCACTTTCTTCTGTGGTAAGCTGAGGCTGCGGAACATACCAGAAAGGGACAGAAAGTGGCAGAGGGCGTGGAGTGCAGCCCTCCCTGAGCAGGGGCTGGCCAGATCCAGGGACACATCTCAGCTTGGCTACTCCCGGCTGTGTGACTCAGGAGAGCAGCCTACCTCCCTGGTCCTCGGTTTCTGCATCTGGACAATGGGTATATAAAATCTGCCTCAGGGCTGCTGAGTTAGATGAGATAGTGATAAATGTAAAATTGCCTGGCACTAATAGGTGCTAAACAATGTTAGCTCAATCTTTGCCCCTTTCTCCAGGAGACGAAGTCTGTGGCACTTTCTAGGGGGCTAGGAAGTGACTAGAAATGTCATACGCTCTCCACCCACGGGGCTCCCCTAGGACGCGATGCTCCGTGGGCAGAGTGAAGGCTCCAGGAAGGAACGGGGAGAATTCATCTTTGTCCGTCCCTGCCAGAGGCCCAGCACCCCCGCCCCTCAAATACTTACTCAAAAGAAATGAAACGAAAACAAGACATACACGCGAGCGTTCATGGCGGCTTTGCTCACCGTGGCCAAACACTGATGTTGGGGCGCGTCAACCCAACGTCCACCAAATGGTAAGCGCTGAAGAAACTGGTCCCTCCGCACAGTGGGCGGCCACTGAGCACCAGATGGGGGCGAATTATTGATATACGCAACAGAATGGATAATCTCGGAAGTGTTCTGTTGTCAGAACGCAGGCACAGAAAAGCGCACGACTCCGTCCACATGAAGCTCTGGAGCGTGGCGACGGAAAGCACCTCCGGGGCTGCCTCTGAAGTGCCTGTGGGAGGCGGGGATGGACCAGAGGGGGCACTAGGGAACTTTCTGGGGTGATGAAAACGTCCTTGATGGGGGCATCGGTTTCCAAGTGTGTGTGCAGTTGACAAAACTCATCAAACTGTAAACCTAAAATCTGTACTTTTTTTGTATGTAAATTGTACCTCGAGAAAAGCAGCCTATTGGGAAAACGCCTCCGTTACAGGCTCGTCTGCATGGCACCGGGGCTGCCGGTGGGACACCCGCCACCCCCGCGTGCGCTGGGCGAGCAGACGCCAACACCAAGCTTACGTCCAGAGCGTCCTCATCCCTTGACGTCTGCGCTTCTCTCTTCCGCCTCCTTGACGGGGAGCCGGTTTCCGAGGGGGTCTGTACGTTACACTCCAAATTCTCGAGCAGACTGTGAGCGTCGTCTTTCTAAATCCCCAAGGGCAGGGACGGGGGGCGAGTAGAAACACCGAGTCAATCAGCCTGGTCCCCCAGGACTTTGCCGGTCAATCCCCCCACGCCCAGCGCTGCTTCCGCCCGGCTCTGTGCTTGTGCACCTCACGCTGCGTGCAAGCAGTGCCCCACCTCCCACCCCGCCTGGGGTCTGCTACGCATCCTTCAGGACTGTTCAGGCCACCTTCCTGAGAAGCCCCCGGGGCCCCGACAAGCCCTATCTCAGTGCACCCTCAGGACTTGAAGAAAAGCTGGTTCCATTTTCCTTCTGGGTTGGTGGTCCCATTAGACTGTGAGATTTTTGGGGGTAACAGCTAAGCATGGGAAATGGCACATAAATATTAATTTTCCTGTTGTTTTCAATAATGTCATTGGATGGTTTCTAAGAAAATATCTTAGGTAACCTTAAATTACACAGTGGTTGTGAACTACACTCGATGCTCATCATTTGTGGATTTTGTATTTGCAAATTCCCTTACTTGCTAAAATTTGTTACCCCCAACCAGTTCTCATGGCAATTTCAGAGTCATTCCTGGACACGAACAGAGCGTGAAAATTGAGTCATCCGACACACATGTTCTCAGCGGAACTTAGAACAAGGTGATGCTCTGCCTTCTTGTGTCAGCTGTCATGGTGCAAACTCGTGTCCTTTTCTCAGCCTAGTTAGTGCCGTGCTTTTTGCATTTTTGTGCTTTTTCTTGGTGATTCTATTTAAAATGGCCCCCAAACCCAGAGCTGAGGAGCTGTCGAGTGTGCCTAAGCACAGAAAGACTGTGGTGTGGCTCAGGGAGAAAACACGTATGTTAGAGAAATTTCGTTCAGGCCTGGTTACAGCGCTGTTGTCTGTGAGCCCAATGTCAATGAATCAAAAACGCATATTAAATTAGATGTCTTTAAACAGAAACACACATAAAACAAGGTTAGTATTGATCAGTTAATGGAAATTTTGTGACCAGAGGTTTGCAGGAACCTAACCCTGGATCCCCGCTGGGAGCAATGGCTCAGTGCTCGCTGGGGCGGTGTTCTCAGTGACTGCATTGTGGATAAGGAGAAAAGACTGCATTTAAAATTCTGTTATGCCAGAGACACTTATCAACTGCCTCTGTGACCATTAGCTGCTCACAAATATCATCTCTGAGGAAATATCACAAGTTTGTCACTGAGTTAGTCAGCAATTATACTGAGCACCTACTATGTGCTAAACCTTGTTCTAAGCACTGGGAATAGAGTAATGGACAAAAGATACAAAGTTTCTTCCTTTGTGGAACTTATATCTAGTGAGAGAAGACATAAACAAACCAACAAATAAATATATAGTATGTCAGGGGTGGTATGTTATAGAGAAAAATAATGGAGGGAGGGGGAATGGAGAATGATGGGAGGGGAGGGTCTCTTGGACAAGGTGGTATTTGAGAAGAAATCTGAAGGAAGTGAAGGAGCAAGCCCCTGAGATATCTCAGGATAAAACATTGCAGTAGTGGGAATAGCAAGTGCAAAGGCCCTGAGGCAGGCTCATGCTAGGCATGTCCGGGGAAGCCTGTGTAGGTGAAGTAGTCTGAAGTGGGTTTCAGGGTAGAGAAGGTAGATGATGAAGCCAGAGATTTTTTTGGTTGTTTCTTTAGCAGCCACAGCTGGCCAGTGCAAGGGTTCTGCAAGGAAGTACCCAATGAGATCATCTTACAGTAAAGACCCCAGGAGAAAAACCTCATCCATCCCACAGAGGGAGCAAAAGTTTTTTTAGATCTCTATTTAAAAATGACCACGAGAGTCACTAGCCATTTGAGGACAGACTCTAATATAAAAGACAAAACCCAAGACAAAAAGAAAAAGCAAACAGGAAACAGATACAACACAGGGAAAACTTCAAACAAACACACACCTCTATTGGCCTCAGAGAAATCGAAGAAGATATTTCATTCACAAAATAAGAATAGGATGGTATAAACATAGAATATTCTGAGAACAAAAAAGAACGCTTAAAAATTAAAAATATGAAAAACTCAATATATGTATAAAGTTGAGAAAGGTCTCCCAGAAAGTATAAAAAGACAAAGAAATGAGTAATTGGAGAGAAAGAATAAGAGGCCCAATTCAATCTAAAAATGATAGGAGTTCTTGAAAAAGAGAACATATAAAAGGAAAAGAATCATCAAAGAAATAATCAAGAAAATGAGTTTCTAGATTGAGAGGGCATTCCAAATGTCTAGCACAATGGATGACAACAGATTCCCACCAATACCTATTCTGGTGCAATTTCATACACTGGAGGCAAAGAAAAGATTCTTTAAGATTCTATAGAGGAACAAAAGTTACTTCCAGCAAAATATCAAGGATCCAAATAGAATCAATTTTCTCAACATCAACAATATAAGTTAGAAGACAATAGAAAAATGCCTTCAAAACGCTGTGGGGAAATTATTTTCAATCCAGAATTATATACCTAACTAACCTAACCAAATTAAGTATAAAGATAGAAGAACATAGATATTTTTAGACATAGAAATTCTCAAGAGTTACAGCCATCTCTTTCTCAGAAAACTACTGAAGGATATGCTCCAGCCACACAAAGAAATGAGTCAAAGAAGGATGCATGCAGGGGTCCCTAAAACAGGATCCAGCTCAGGAGAGAGGTGAAGAGGTCCTAGCAGGATGGTCCTGAGAGGTCTCAATGGCCACAGGGAAAGCGCAGAGCAGCTGCTTCTCAAACTTTAAAAACATGTAAATCACTGGGAGGACATGTTAAACACAGTTTGCTGGCCTCAAGCCCAAAGCTTGTCATTCAGTGAGTCTGGGGACTCAGGAATTTGCATTTTTATCGAGCAATGTTGATGTTCCTGGTCTGGTCCACACTTTAGAGTGCTGTGGTCTAGAGAACGAAGAGCTCAAATCAGAGCATATCAGAATGTTTCTGGGAGAGACGGTTTTCTCAAGAAGAGAAAATGCATCAAATATCTAACGTATTCAAATGTCTTGAAAGGAAAGGTATATAAATAGGGGATAGGTTAGTGTTAAATGAGTAAGTACATAGAATTTAAGCAAATGAAAAAAACTGAGTAGCTTAACTTCAGGGAAAACAAAATGTTGTGCAAGAAAGGTAAGTATTCATAATCATAACTGATCTTTGATTTACAGAGACTAATGTTTATAAAATCATAATAATGGAAACACAGAATACTGATTTAACCCAAATTACCCTGTAACCACAGAGGTAGAGTTGGTAGTACTGGGAGGGGTGGGCATACTGCCGGAAAGGGGAGGAAAGAGAACTAGATCCTCTTCCCTTCCACAGGGGGAGTCACCGGTCCCACGACAGCAAGCAGCAGCAGTGGAGGCAAGTTATTTAAAAATGGGAAGTAAATTCCCCAAATGCCCAGCTGAAAGAGTTGAACAAGGTGGCTTCTGAGAAGTGGAAAATGGGCAGTGGTGTTGCTGCTTTTGAACTCATACTTTAAATTACATGCACGGATAACTTCAATACAAATAAAAAAGTTTTAATTATGAAATAAGTAAAAATAATAAAATAAAACAAAAACCACAAAAGGAAGGTGGTGCAAGATTAAATTATGACTTGGACGAGAGGAGGACAACGAAGAGTACCCAGGAGGCACCGAAGGAGGAAGTGCCTGACCTGGCTGGGAGGGTCAAGAGGGTGTCCCCAGGCGATCTTTTCTCTGGGTCCTGAAGGCTGAGGACAGAGGAGGAGAGAGGCCACAGCATGGAGAGAGAATGGATGTGCAGAAGCGCAGGGCGTCTGGGGAACAGTGAGATGTCTTGTGGCTGGACCAGGATGGGGCGGCTGCCTGTACACCTGTGTTTTAGGCTGGTGCTCCAGGAACATAAGCTGCCTTATGTACCATGCTAGGAAATCGGGCATTATCTTTTGTAGGCAACCAGGAGTCCCTGGAACTTTTTCACTGGGAGAGTCAAACTGTCAGAAACACCTTTAGAAACAGAAATGAGAGGGAGGAGACAGGAGGAAAGGAGTCTCATTAGAAAGTAGGTTGTTGCAGCTGGGTGAGGTGGCTTGCGCCTGTAATCCTGACACTCTGGGAGGCCGAGGTGGGAGCGCAGCTTGAGCTCAGGAGTTCGAGACCAGCCTCAGCAAGAGTGAGACCCCATCGCTACAAGAAACAGAAAAAATTAGCCGGGTATAGTGGTGTGCACCTGTAGTCCCAGCTACTGGGGAGGCTGAGGCAGGAGGATTGCTTGAGCCCAGGAGTTTGAGTTTGCAGTGAGCTATGATGACACCCCTGTACTCTACTAAAGGTGACAGAGTGAGACTCTGTCTCAAAAAAAAAGAAAAGAAAAGAAAGAAAGAAATAAAGAAGGTTGTTGCAAAGATGACATGAAATTATAAGAAAATCTTGTTAGTTCTACCTTTGAGCCACAGCCCCCTCCATGAGTGCCACCTGGTCTGAGACACCATCACTCTCAGCTGACCAGAAGTGCCGACCCAGACAGCTTGGTTCACCCCTGTAAACCACAGCTGACTCAGCTACCAAATGGGATACCGACCACCACTTTGCCAGGTAGGAGATGATTAAAGCTCTGGCTTTGGTGTTCAGACTTGGGCTGAAATCTACCTGCACTGTTCACTCACCATGTGACCCCGGATAAACAATCACCTTGCAAAGCCTCAGCTGCCTCACTGTGAAGTGGGGACAATGATAGTTCCCCTGCCTCATAGGCCTCAAGCGAGGAGGAAGAACCCAATGTCTATGAACAGTCTGCATGGGGCGCCCAGCAAGTCTCTGCGCCTTACTGCCCTTCCTGCTTCACACTAGCCAGCCTCTCTCAGTGTCCCTTAATCACCAGCAGGATCTGACAGCCCCCACCCTGCCTGCGAGCATCGCGCTCATTATTTTAGTTTGAGCCTTTTGCAGCGTGCTCTGCAAGAGTCATCTGCATTGTGAAAGAGCGCTGCTTCCCTGGAGCCCTGCAGGACTTGGCTTCTTTCATGTGGGCCAGGAAGTGGGGAGCAAGACCACCCACCTTAGCACTGATCTTACCAGACTTCATCCCCCAAAGAGGTGGAGGCTGCAAGGACCTAAAATAGTGGTCATACCACTACTGATGGCATGTCCGCCACGGGCCAGGCACTTCCGTGGCCATCCAACCCATCTGGACAACTGCCATGTGAAGCGGCCCTTAATTCCCTCAGGTTTACTTGTAATGTGGCCTTCTTGAGATTGTGAACCTCAAGCAGGCCAGGCCAGGATCTGTCCTGCTGCTCACGAACGTGCAGGGAAGTAGAAGGTACCCTGCAAACTTTTACTGACGGGGCGAATGAACCAATGCATGCCAATGCGGCAGCGGGGACTCAAGCACCGAGTGGCAACCCACACAGCAAGGAGGCAAGAGGCAGGGCAGGAATGGATGTCCAGGCGTGGGCGTCCCCAGCGCTCCTGTCCACCACTCTGAGCTGGGCTCCTCTGCCGGCATGGTACCCAAAGCCTTGGTGCTACAGATTGGGAGCCGGAGGCCAGTAGGGGTTTGGCGGCTGTCCAGGATCGCACAGAGCAGTAGGAGGGAGCAGGCACTTCTGGGGGTCCCCAGGCCAGTGCCCTTTAGTCACTCCGCCACTTCCCTCCTGGAGCATATGGGCGCGAAGCCCGTGATCCCGCCCAAGTGGTCGCAGAGCTCAGGGTCGGCCGCCCCGGAGCCCAGGACCCAGGAGCACCGCGCCCGCTCCCCACCACGAGGCTGCCGGCTTGGCCACCCACCTGGTGCCGCGGACGCTGGCGGCCAGCGCGGCAGCCGACCCAGAGGCCGAGGCCCACGCCGATCGCGGCGCCCAGCAGCACGGCGGGGACCAGCAGCGCCGGCGCCGGCCTCAGCGCGTCCCGGCCAAGCAGCAGCCGCGCGTCGCCAGTGCAATCCGCCGCGCCGCGGGCCATCTGGGGGGCTCAGGCGAGCGGGCCGCGTCCACCCGCCGCCGCGCAGGGACTGGGTCCCCGCCCGCTGCACCGGCCCCGCCAGGACGGCGAAGCGGGGCTTCGAGCCCGGGCGGGCCGGGGGCGAGCGCGCTCCGGCGACTTTCGGGCCTGCTAGGCCTCCGGGCTCCCGCGCCAGTCCCCTTCGCTGCCCCGCCGCGCCCGAGGGAGGAGCCAGATCTCCGCCCAGAACTTGGGGCCACCGCGCCGGGCCCTGCCCTCTCACTGAGCATGCCCGGCCAGGACCCCGCGCAAGCAGGCCCGGTTTTCACCCGCCCTTGGGCTCCTGGGCGGGAAGGGCGCCCCCGACCACCCAGGAAGGCGTTTGCCTTTAGCTGTATTGAGTGCTTAGGACATGCTAAGCATTGAGCATTTAGCCGATGATCTCATAAACTTTCTCGACAACCTCTACCACGGGCACCGGTTTCCCCTGTCCTCCTGAGAAGGAAGATCGTAGAGCTGGGAAGTGACCAGATGCAGGTCTGACTCCTGTCCTCATTCCTAACCTGCACCATCAACCTTCCTGGGGCCACACAGCCTACCACTGCCTCTGACCTTGTTGGCCCGAAGCCTCCTTCTTTAATCCTATTTTCTGCCGCGGATGGTCAATGCTTTTCTCCGCGTGGTCATTCATTCACTCAGCACTTGGACAGAGTCTTTTGTATGCCTGGGAGGGTGGGGGACAGGCCAGCGATGAACCAGGCCAGGTCCCAGGCCTGGAGGCTCTCACAGCTGTGGGAGATAAAACAATTAGATGACCCATCACCTGTTTTTTCTTTGAGCAAACTTACTGAGCAGCTGCTAGATGCTTGTTGTCGTCCTGCGTGCTGGGGGCGCCCGCACATGCCCACACGAACACACGCGCGCATACACACACACACACACACACACACACACACACACACATACACAGTATTGTCCTGGGTGCTGGGGATACACACACACACACACACACACACACACACACACAGAGTATTGTCCTGGGTGCTGGGGATACACACACACACAGAGTATTGTCCTGGGTGCGGGGATACACACACACACACACACAGTATTGTCCTGGGTGCTGGGGGTACACACGTTCTCCTGCCCTTTGGAGTGCAATTCACTGAGGGCAGGGGTGGGGTACCATGGGGATCTCCTTCAGAGAAGAAGTTTTGTCCTTTCAGCCTGGATGCCCGCCCACCCACGGTTCTAGTTTCATCATTTCCTCATGGCAAGATGGGAACTATTATCCAAATTCTTTATCGTTTTTGTAGATAAAGAAACTGACACCTTCAAGGTTTTGCAACTAAGGAGTGGGGCAGAATATAGTCACACCTGTGTCTGTCTGGCTTCAAGGCTCAAACTCTGCTATGCGAGTTTCCTAAATGTTTCCTTAGAAGCATGTCCAAGGTTCCTAGGAGTGCCGGTGGGGGCAATAATCTGGAGTTCTTGGCTTTACACTGGGTATTTCTTTGGGTGCTTTTGCTGCAGTTTTAACAATGTGGTGTCCTTTGCATTTTACTTTATCAAAAAAATGTTTGATAAAATCATCCTTTAAATTATGCACTGTCAAATAACACTGATGATCCAGCAAGATGCCTGGCATTTAGCCTTTGGCCTTGTCTCCCCCCTGGCATGCTGCTGGACATCCTCTGGTGCAGGAAGCTTGCCTAATAAATTCTCAGGTTTTCAAACCCCATTGACTTGTCCATGTCAGCTCAAGAAAGGGGAGGCAGGAGGGTCTTCCAAGTGCCAGGCTCCCTGGCCTGAGGCTGCAGACAGCCTGACAGGCTGCCCAGCAGGAAAGCTGGCAGGAGAGGAGCCCTCTCCCCAATGAATAGGTATAAGCTGTCACCTAGGGCCCAGGAGGGGTTGAGGAAGCAAATGCCCTTCCAAGCTCCTGTCCCTCCTCTCTGTCTCTTTCTCCCCCTCCTCCTCCCTCCCTTGGCAAAGCAAATCCCCCCTGCTCCAATGGAGAGTTCAAGGAGAGCTTGCTGGCTGCTGCCTGGCTTCAAACACCAACTCTCCTCTTTCTGGTTCCCCAGAGGGTGGCACAGTGGCTGGCCTCACTACCTGTCTCCCACTGGGAATGTGCAGGGCACTGGGCAGGTCCAGGAGCTAATCCACAGCAAGGGCTCAGGCAGCGGTGCTCCACCAGGCTAGACTGAACCCCACAGGAAGCGAGGGACGCTTTTCCTTCTCTGCCTACTCCCTGCCCCTCTGTGCTGTCCTGTCCCCTCTGGGCTCTCCAGAATGCATGGCCCTGCTCTCCAAATGCTTCCCCATTTTCTAGCAGGGGGCTGCCAAGGATTGGAGGGAAACTCCAACTCAGTCCGGTGTGTAGGGAAAGACTTCCCAGAGGAGGCGGAGAGCCGGATAGGCCATACTGTAGGGGCCCCGGGGCCCTGGTACTCTTTGGGAGCTGGGGAGTGACCCGATCTGACTTGAGAAGTGCCTAGTCCGCGCGCGGTAGGGCGCGAACCCCCGCGGCGCCTGGCTCAGCGCGATCCGTCGGCTCCCTCCTCCCACGCCCGTCCCGGGCACCTCCCAGCCCGCCAAGCCCCAGATGAGGGTGTTCCAGAAAACTTTCCCCGGCGGCTCGCACTGAGCATGCTCGGCGGTGGGGCGGGCCTGGGGTCCGGAAGCTCCGGAGACTCCGCCGCGCCAGCCACTTCGGAGGTCGCCGTCCCAGCAGGCGATGAGCCCGGCTCGCTCTCGGGGGCGCGCTACGTGGGTGCTGGCCGGGGCCCTCCTGGCCGTGGCCCTGGCGCTGGGGGGCAGAGGCTGTCTCCCCGCGGGCCCGGGTCCCCTCCGGGGCCCCTTCGGCGCGCAGCCGCCCCCGGATCCTTCCGCGGCTCCCGGGGCTGCGGGAAGCCTGGGGACCCCTCCTGGGCCGAACGGGGCGGGGCCCCAGGAGACCGCACAGGTAAGGAGGACCCGCCCGCAGTCACGGGTCTGTCTCAGTGGCTTGGCTTTGTCTACTCCGCGGCGAGGAGGCCCCTTGGGGCAAAGAATCAGGAAGGGAGGGCAGGATCGGAATAGGATGCGTCGTGGTCCTTAGGTGTATCCCGCTGTGGCCAGAAAACTTCCAGGAAAGGTGGAGACTTTCTTCGCCTGTGGCGGCTGCGGGGTTGGACTTTACCCGCATTGCCTGGTTCGAATCCACTCTGCATCCTATCCTGCGAGCTCTGTGACCTAGGGCAGACCACTTCAGTTCGCGTGCCTCCGTTTCCTGATCAGTACAACCTGGCCGTTGCAGCGTCCGCCCCGAGGGTCCTAGTGGGTTAGGTGCGTTACTGTACCCAGAGCGTTTTGCGTAGGCAAGCCCTGGGCCAGAGGGTAGCGGCTGTGAAAAGAAGAGTTGGGGTTGTGAAGTAAAATAAAATTTTAAGGCTCACCCCCCCACCCGCTGACTGAATGGACCCCCTCGTGGCCAAAGGAATATCCTAAAACTAAATTAACTGCCAGGAGGAAGGAGGTCAGACATGCCTCATCATGCTCCCCTTGCTTCTTGGTGACATCCTTTATAACCCATCAACAGGCCTAAGGGTATGCAAGACAAACCTGCAGGTCCTCAATTTACACAACAAATATATGTCTTGTGGCTTGTCTCTGATAAACAGCTCCTTATGTTGAAACATTCCAAACCTTTAGGCAAAGCTTCATGACTTTAACCAATTACAACTCAAAGAATCTTTAACTCACCTATAACCTGTAAGTCCCCGGCTTCGAGATGGCCCACCTTTTTGGGCCAAACCAATGTATGCCTCCCACGTATTGATTTATGACTTTACCTGTAACCCCGGTCTCCCTGAAATGTGTAAAACCAAACTGTAACCCAGCCACAGCGAGTCCACTTGCTCAAGGCCTCTTGGACGTGGCTCTGGGTCATGGTCCTCAAATTTGGCTCAGAGTAAATCTCTTTAAAATTATTTTACAGTTATTTTACAGTTTGGTCTTTTTTTTCCGTTGACAGGGTTATTGACTGGACTTTTATGTGACTGCACTCTCCTGGCCAATGAATTTAGCCACTGCCCCCCTCACCCTGGCGCTCTGTCTGTGGTCCCAAACTTGGGATCCTCTTAAGGGAGACTCTGCTCCCTTCCTGTCGTGTATTGTCTAGACAAATACTGTGTCAGTGCACTGAGCTTTAAAAAGGCCAGTGACAGACCATTTGCACAGGGTCTTTGTACTTGTATCTGCCCTGTGAGGTGGGAAGTCTCTGGCCTGTTTTGCAGGTGGCAAAAGCAAGGCTCAGGGAGCTGTGTCCCCAGGCCTGTCCTGTGCCCACGTTGAGAGCATGCACTCCTGGACTTATCTGCTTTGAACATGCTCTTCCCTCTGGGAAGCCATGCTGGCAGATCCTGGCTGACATTTAATAGGCACAGTGCCTACTGGGAAGGGCCTGAAGCCATCCTGGACCCAGGTGAGCCCAGGGCACTTCTCTTTCAAGGGCCACCCTGGCCCTTGCAGGAACCCAAGAATGAGCACCTCACCTGGGCCCAGGCCCTGCCCACACCTGTTCTTGTCCAGAGGGCCAAGCCTCCTTCCTCAGTTGGGGCTGTCTCAGATGGTTGTGCTGTGTACAGGATAGGGCTTGGGTCTTGTGGGTCCCTGCCACGGACACTTGTTCTCCCTGCCACCTGGGGCAAGTCACAGCCCCCAGGGCCTCACTCGCCCTTCTGAACAGTGTGTAAGACCCATTTCCAGTGTACCTGTTAGGTGTTCTATGTGATTATTTGAAGCCTTCACTCATGTCTCCTTCCTTCCAGCCACCATTAATTTATTCATTCAATTTATTATACTTATTTATTGCACCTTTTGCTAAGTCCCATGCTGAGTGAAATGCCTAATTGCACACGGTGACTGGGTGCTGTGAGGAGGATGGGAGCCGTAAGGTGGGGGGGGGTCACTTAATTTGGGAGGTCAGGAGGAAGAAAATTCAGTTGAGACTTGAAGGGTGAGTGGGTTTAGGCAGGGAAAGAGTGGAGAGAGGACATCGCAGCTGGGCTGGGCTTGGCGTATTCCAGGTCTCTGGCCTGGTGCTGCTGGGACATCTCTTGGTGAGAACATTAGCATGGTTGGGGCTGTCTGTCTCCTTTGCTGGACTCTGAGTTCCTGTGGGCAGGGTCTTTATCTTCTTTCATTTCTTCATTTGATGCTTACCGAGAATGCCTCCTATTCCGCAAGTGTTCTTAGAGTGGGGTCTGGGGACTCCTGGAGTCACTGGACCAATTAATTCGGGGGTCCACAGAGTCAGCGCCGTTTTCATAGTAATGCTAAGACGTTATTTACCTTTTCCACTTTCATTTTTTTACAAGTGTGCGGTGGGGTTTCCAGAGGTGACATAAAGTGTGATATTGCAGCAGATTTAATGTAGAAGCAGACGTGAGAATCCAGCTTCTTCCATTAATTCAGACATAGATGAGATTTGCGAAACAATGTCAATCTTCTTTTTATTTTGGAAAATGTTATTTTTCATAAAATGTGCTATTTATGTTAATATACAATGGGAATATCATTCTTATTTCAAATGAATTAATAGACATTTAAAAATAATCCCTCTAATTTAAATACAGTAAATATTGGTAAATATAATCTGCACAAACAGAAGCTCGTTAGAGTCCTCAATAACTGTTAAGCACGTAAATGAGTCCTGAGTCCAGCGAGTTGAAGAATCACTGCTCTGTAGCAAGGGCTGTCTGACGCCCCTGGGATTTAGAGATGAAAGAAACCACCGTGCCCGTTTGAAAGAGAAATACGCATATCAGAATAAGGTCCTTTCATAATTTGTAACACTTTTTAACGCTCATAGCATCATTTTGTTGTTCTTTTACTCGAAATACCAAACAACAGTAATTCAGGTTGGTTGTGATGGCAAGTTCAGTGGATTGAATGTGTCTCAAGTTGGGTGAATTTATAGAAAATAACTAAAATAATAATAATAAAACCAGATACCATGTGACATTATCTGCTATATTGCATACTTACTGTAGATTCAAAACTTCAGCCTTGGAATTCTGAGTTGAGAAAACCAATCCTGAAACACTTTATGAGACTTGGTCAGGAAAGGTAGGGGTCTTCGGAGGCTTCTCTGCTTCCCCTTGTCTTTTAACGGCTGGAGCACCCAGGGCTCAGTGCTGGGCTCTCTTCCCTCCTCTGTCAACACTACCAGCCTTGGTGATCTACCACTGACAGCTCCCAAATTTCAGTCCCCGCAGAGGCCTTCTCAGAGCTTCTGCACAGATCTACCTGCCTACCCGCCATGGCCCCTGGAGGCTGCCAGGCACCCAGAGGTCATGCCCCCGTGCAGAGCCTAGATCCCACGTCTCTCCTCCCTTCCTGCCAGTGGCATCTCTGCCTTTCCTTTAGCTGGGCCCAAAAGCCTTGGTACCATTCTCATCTCCTTTCTCTACACCTCACATTCTCTCAGTCTGCCAGTCGTGTGGATTCTGTTTTCCAAACATATCCGGAACCAACACAGTTCTCCCTCTCTCTACAGCCACCATCTTGGTTCAAGTTACCGTCTTCTCTGTGGGACCCTGTGGAGCCTCCTGACTGCCCTCCCTGCTTCCGCCCTTGTCCACTTCTCAACAGAGCCGCCAGAGCGTCCCATGTAACACAGCCACCTCATGCCACTCTTCATGGGGTAGCCCACCAGTGATTGCCCGTTGTACTCAGAGCAGAAACCGAAGTTCCCGATGTGACCTAAAGTCCCTACATCACCCTGTTACCACTCTGACTGCATGTCTTGTGTCTGTCCCCCTCACACACTCCACTCAGATGCCCTGGCCCACTTGCTGTTCCTTGGACACTCTCAGCATGCCCCCACCTTGGGGCCTTTGCACATGCTGTTCCCGCTGCCTGACGGAATGCTCTTCCCCCTGTGGCCTCTTTTTTCCATACCACTCTGTTTAAAATGGCAGCCCCCAGCACTCTCTGCCCGCCTTTTGTTCTCTGTTTCTGTCTACTGCTCCTGTCACCTTCTGGTATACTATTTACAATATGTACTATTTTGTTTATAACTTTCCTAATTGGTGTCTTGAGAGTAGGACATTTTTGTGTCTCATTCGGTGATATATCCCCATTTTCAAAATAGCACATAGTAGGTGATCAAAAACACTTGGTGAATAATGAGTGAAAGTGAAGTCGCAGGCTGGTGCGAAGTGGCGAGGCAGTGGCTGAGGGCTGGGCACTGGGCTGGGAGTCTGGAACGTGTGACTTCTTGTCTCAGCCCTACCGTTACTAGCTGTGGACACTTGGCCATTTCACGCATCAATTCCTAAATATTTATCATGTACCTCTGATGCTTCCGTGCTGGCCCCGGAGTATAGCAGTGAACGCGACGCAGTGCCTGCACTCACAGAGCCGGGGCTCAGGCCAGCTCTGAGCCTCACTTTGTTCATCTGCAAAGTGTTACCTCTCAGCATTATCACAGAGATGATAGTAATAATAGTAATGATACAGTAATGATCACGGTGATGACAGTTACAGTGATATATAATAACAACAGCAATGCATAATAATAATAGTATTATGTTTACTACGTATTTGTAATACTATGTGCTGGGCACTATGCTAAATGCTTTATATACATTATCTAGTTTAATCCTTTAAAAGTCCTTATGAGGAAGGTATAATATCCCTATTTTACAGATGAGGAAACTGAAGCTACAGTGGTTCCAGTGGGGTGAGGTTGCCCACCCGGATTCTTTACCCCAAAGCACTCAGTGGCCAGGTTCTACAAGAAAATTCTTTGTAAACTTGAGCATAGATGTTATGGTGAACTAATGGGCAATTACAATAGTTTCCCAGATGGTCTAAAAGGGCACTGTCCACTACACTAGCCACTAACCATATGTGGCCACTTAAATGTAAACCTTTCATGTGCTAGATGGCCCCACGTGGCTAGTGGCTACCATATTG